TCCCCAAAGACTCAGAGTCAGAAAAGCCACGTTTTTGCCTGTAAAAATTGTGAGGTGAAGATCTTAGAGTAAGTTATCTCCTGAGCTACAGCAGGGGTATGAGGAAGAAAAAGCAGAAGAAAAAGAAGCCTGTGAGAGAAGAGTAACCCTGAAAAGGAGCTAAATGGCATCGGTGGCCTAGTGGTTAGGCTCTCGGACTCGCAACCGTAAGGTCAAGGGCCCGACGTTGTGTCCTTGGGAAAGGCACTTTACACGAATTTTCCTCACTTCACCCAGGTGAGAATGGGTACCCGGCTATAGACAGCGAAAGATCTTGTCAGTTTGTTAGTGTTTGAGCGCTTAATCGGCTGCTCGCACTGTATGCTTCCCGGGAAGCTGAGAATGTTTCTGAGTGTTCTATGGTCTGCTGGGGTAATAATATAGTGTAAAGTGCATAGAGCCTGCTGTTGAGCGGGGATATGCGCTATACAAATGCTATCTATTATTATTATTATTAAGTGACCACTGAACTGGTCTACCCAATTTTTATTGACAAAGGGAGATAACAAAAAATACATTGCTTCCAAATTTATAGAGCAGTAATCAGAGACAACAAAAAAAACAAAAAACAGCTTGAAAATATCACAATGCATGATAAGCCTGAAAGAAGGTAGGAATCCATGGTAAGGATGCTTATAACTCACTGCGAAGAGAGATTAAGATACGTAGTTACTCACCTTTCCTGTACTGAAGATTGACACATCATCCCATACAAGACACATGTAGCCAAAGAAAAATACAAGGCAATGCCATAAACCTGAGTGAAAGGACAGAAAGAAGAAAACAAAACATTCAATTAAAGGCATTTTTGAAAGGAGAGCAACTTTCTCTCCCTCCCTCTTACTGCTGTTAGTTTTATTTCACTGCACCTGCAACACAATTAGGTCATATAAGTGTTAAAGATTAGAGGTGTTACAAGAGAGTAACATAAGCAAAAAAGAAGGAGGAGAGATAAGGACGATAGATGTTGAATTGGAAAGAAGTATAAACATGGCTAGACATAAGTAAATCTTTAATAAAATAGAGAACATCTTATGTCAAGCACATAGCAAACTTTCTGAAAACAGCTGTAATTCCCACTAGAAACTGAGTCTACACAAAAACAGTTTCTCCAATTCACAAGTGTTTCGGTTTCGGTATGTGTTTTACGGTGCTCGCAAATGCATAAGGTCATATGCGCGCACTTTTACGAGGGTGAGTGAAGTAATGTACACGATCGTTTTAGAGGTGAAGGCTCCAACTCCCATGAGAGCAGATGGCTAGCCACTGACATTCATCAGCCCATAGTGAATAATAAATGGTAAAATACATGATTATTCCGAATACAAAACATGAAAAAAAATCCAAA